TCTAGCTATAGAGAAAAACTTTCCAAACAAGGGGAAGGATGCATAAAAGAAGTTAAGATATTAAAGAGAGGAAAAAGGAATATACTTGCTACCAATACACCATTGTCTTCATTGTCGTAGATTATAGCAGCTTTAAATCCAGCCTTTTGTGCTCGTCTAACTTTCTCCTCGAAGCTACAGCCTCCTCTAAAAATCAATACAAATGGGGAAGTAGTATTTGAAACATGTTCAACTTTATTAGTCAAATCCGAGCAAGCATTAATAGGCTCTGCCAAATATAGCACCCCACATTCCCCTGAACCTTTAATAGCTGGGGCTGAAACAACAAACACGGAAGTCAAGAAAAAACCTAACGTATTACCACATTTTACACTTGAAGCATATCTAAGTAGTAAATTATATAGGCATAAATTCATATATGTGCTAGACAAAGGTAACCAAAGCACAAAACACATTCTACTACCAAATGCTTACTTTCATCAAACTCATGTTGTTCTTCTCATTTACCTTTAAAGGGTCAGATAAGTGAATTTGGCAATAAAAAACTAAGAGTACTTGGTACATGAAATTTTTTTCTAATTTTTATTTTCTAAATTTATATGTATTTTACTCACAGAAACTAATAACATAGTTAACAATAGTAAGATTGACAATCAATGTGAGAATTTTAAACGTTACATTAGTGTTTTATTATAAAAAAATAAAAAAATAAAAAAAAAACATATTCTCATTTGCGCTTATTATTAACAATCACGCCCATAATATATTTTTATGAATAACGAATAACATAATTTTACAAATAGAGACGCAAATAAACACACGATTTTAGGAAATAAGCACTAAAAAGTATTTTTAGGAAATAAAAAAAGTAAAAGTATTTTCATGAAAAGAGGCCTAGAACAGTCTACCTTCCTCGCTCTATTCTTATTCCCAAAAAACAAAGGTAACCTACAGATTACTACAGAACCAAAGAACCAGTTCATCAGTTTTCCCATAAGATAATAAAAATCCTAACATGCAATTATATTATGCTAGACAATACAATCTCCAATTTCTCAGCTCTTATATTATACCAAACAATCAAAATTACAGATCGAAACATGAAAAGAAATGGAGAGAACTTACAGAAATTAGCTTCAATGTCATCGAAAGAAAGAGTAACATTGTTCCCAATTAACACTACGTTCGCCCAAGTCACCCAACAAAGGGTCAATAGATGTAGCAGCAGCAGCAAACCCGCAACCGGTTTCATTATTATCGAAATCAAAATTTCAGACAAAAAAAAAAAAAGAAAAAATCACAAAACCCTAATTAAGCAGAGAAAAAAAGGGAACATAATAGATTGCAGAGAGAGTGAGAGAAAGGAGACTTATATTAGGGTTGAAAGAGAACGGATTGATACATCAGCTTCCATCTGAGACAGTAAGATAGAATATGTGAATCTTCGATTCAGGTTGATGATGATTGTAATTATTCGGGGATTTTGGGAAGAAGTTTTGAGGAAATTTTAGGTGTAAGAGAGAGAGAGAGAGAGATGGAGTTACTATGTAATAAATCAAGTTGATTGATTGATTGGTAAATATATAAAAAAAAAAATGTTTTGATCAGAAGCCGCCAAAGAAGCTAAATCAGCCAGATGAAGTGATTGTCTCCATCAAAAAAAAAATAAAAAAAATAAAATATCCGATTGGATTGTTTAAATATTGAAAAATAAATTTCATATTTTTATGGGTTTTTAAAAGTCTTATCTTTATTATAGTATTTAATATTTTATAAAAAATACATATATATATATATATATAATATTAAATTTTCCTTTTTCTACAGGAAAATATCTCAACGTCAAAGTACGGACACAGATGCTTGATTTTTCTCTTAGCCCTAAAATAGTCAATAGATTGGCATGTCTTCTTCTTCTATTGACCGACAGACATAAATATGTTATTCCATTAAAAACTTGATAAATTTCATTTCTAATAGAAATCACTGATTCTATAGATTTTAAATAGTTTATATAATTAAATTTCATTTGAGATGGATATAATAATTCAATTCGGAATCCCAATGAATATGGACCATCTTCTTCTATCAAATCTTTTTTTTTTTTTTTTTTTCGGACTTGCAGATTGCGTACGAACACATGCGATTATGGGCAGCTCAAGAAAAATTTATGGCTAATTTTTAGTCTAGTACAAGTTTGTTAGCTTTCTTCTGTCAAAATTTAACTTTAATTAAATAGAAATTAATTTATGAACAAGAAGATAACATGATATATATATATATATATGTGTGTGTGTGTCTCTCTCTCTCTCCAGCCTTTACAGAAGATGATCATGCATCTGTACAACTTCTTCTTGAAATTAAAACTAGCGATTATTATATAGTTTTTCTTCTAATGAATAATTGCAGAAGTAGCGGTCGACGAATAAAAGGAGAAATTAAAAATCTGTCCTGAAGAGGAGTGGTTGAAGCGATGGAAGCAGAGAAGTTGCAGAGACGAGGGCAGCCGATTCAATGGAAGAGGGGTGTTCGACTCCAAAAGCCTTTCTTTTTTTAAAAAAAATTTTAATGATGGTGGACTTTAAAGAATCATCATTTTCATATCCCTTAATTTGAGCAAATTAAAAGGAAAAAAAAAAAGAAAAAGAAACAATTGAAAAGAAAGAGAAATATTTATCCACTAGAACTTTAAATCATTATATGATACCCCATCAAATAAACAAAGAGGAAACACGTAGTGATGACCTACCACTATGTATGTGCTCATTTGCGTGTGTGTGTGTATATATATATATATATATATATATATATATATGATATGTACATTAATTGTATGTACAAAACATGATATCAGAATTTAGAATCTAACGTAACAAAATAAAACTTTTCGAATATGTACAAAATATATAAAAATAAAAATCTTTTTACAGGTTCTACTATGCTGCCTCTTCGTTATCATCTGAAAAATATCATAGTGAAATTTAATGAGTTTCACAAACTCAATAAGTATTCATGTACTTTTAATCAAGATAAAATTTTATGCAAAACACACGGTAAGAAATAAAAGTAAAAAAAATGTTTAAGTGCAAAATTCACGTCTTATTTTTACTATTTCACATGTTCCTAATCGATCTGATAAATTCTCTCAGGTTTTAGACTCTATTAATGTGCAGGTTTACCATATCCACTGAACTTCAACCACACACACACACTCCCCTCATCGATTTATACTAAACAAAAAAGTATTCAGGGTCCTTACCTTATTCATTCTTACCCTCTCATTCCAAAATTTTCAGTTTGTTTGAATGATAATTTCTTAACCTCAATTATTTCTTTTCTTTTCTATTTTTACAATTTAATTTTATTTCTTTTTCGTTTTTTTAATTTTTCCTTAACTGAGAATTTTTCTTTTTAATGTCAAATTTCATAAGTCCAAAGAACTTTCAGTGCTTTGGGTATATTTTCTGGTTTCGTGTTCTCATAAGGTTCTAATTACTTAGGTTTACTTATTATAATTTGGATTATGTTTTTCATCAAAAATTGGGTCAATATCCGTTCAAATTTCAAAATTAATAATTTAATAAAATGAATGTACTTTTTGAAATTCGAACCCGGTTGAGATTTAGAAATACTTACTCTCCTATGCATCTTTTCGGATCCGTCTGAATGTCCAAATTTTTCGGCACATGCGACATAATTAATTAAAATACATCAAAATACTAAAAATTAATTTACTCAAATTACGGGTTCCAACTACCACCCAATTGAATACCCGAATTTATTAGGATCCGTACTCGAAAAACCTTTCGACTCCCCGTTTGTTGAATTAGGTTTTTGTTTTTTTAGAAAGACTTTTTAGCTTTCCAAAATGCAAATCGAATTTTCGTTTTCCGAAAAAGACCTTTTAACTTTTCGAATGGCGAATCTTGAAACAGAACCCAAAATGGTGGATCAAGTTCCCAAGCTCGGGGAAACCCTTCAGCTTCCTAAATGTAGCAGCCCCGGAAATTTATAATGGAATTTATATTATAAATTATCAAATGCGGAAGCGAAGTCAAAATTTGAATAACATCCCTTACACCAAAACCAAAAACGTGCTCACAAAATATAAAGGATCAAACTACCTAAGGGAGAAAACTCGAAAGTAAAAACTACGAATGTGACTATGGATTCTTTAGGCGTCCCCTTCGTCGTCCTTCTGCGGAACCGGCTCGGGAACGATGTTCTCTTGATCTGAAATGATTAAATAAGGAATGAGCTACACTAGCCCAGTAAAGACATCACGATATCTCACCGTCACGGAGGTAAAGGTGGGTAGAAAACACAAAAAGACCAATGGAGCATAATTTACAACAAATCTTTTTATCGATAATAAAACCTTTACCATTCACTTACCTCGGTAAAATTCATAAAACAATATATGAAAGCAATAACATCATCATCATCATGAAAATGTATATATGAACTGTATAACATAATACTTATCACACTTTTCGTAATTCAATCGTTAACAACATATTTTCCTAATTCACCAGCCCACTAGTATCCATGGGGATCCATAGGGGTCCCGCTACCCGTTAATCCTTAACACTTGAAATCATATTCCAGGGCCGTCCCTATACCCCGTCCGGTATGGGCGCCAAACCATAGACCTCATTACCCCGTCCGGTATGAGGGTGAAACGGGCCGTCCCCATACCCCGTCCGGTATGGGCGCTAAAACAATAAACCTCATTACCCCGTCCGGTATGAGGGTGAAACGGGCCATCCTCATACCCCGTCCAGTATGGGAGACCACAATCCCGGTAGGGTTCCCTACGGACCCAGTCCGTCCACCATCTCCCAGGATATCTAGTCAGGCTGACCACATTATACAATTTTCATTCACATAATCTTTCATTCTCCTTTTTCCTCAGTCAGCATTATCAATCACATACAAACAAGCAAAACGATAATTTATACCAAACAGACAGCATACAACATCAATATCCCGGTCATTCAATTCATAATCAATAAAACAGTAAGAAACTGTAAAATGAAACATCGAACCTCATGCTGTATTTAAAACTGTAAAACAAGCCAAATAATAGTTAACCGACAAACACACTAGACTCGGGCTCCATTAGCGACCTTAAGCAATTTCACAGATTCGTTGATTCATTAAAAACCGTTTTATCATTTATTGGACTTTAAAACCGTGATAGCAAATAG